TAATAGTTAACAGAACTCCAGATTTCTGAATTTTGTTAGTACTAGTCTATGTACCAATGTGATAAATCTCTCTACGCTTAATGTGCACTGTAGATGAACAGAAATTACTTAGACTAACAGTTACTTACAGAAAGTGGAGGATACTGTGTAATTTAAATGATAATTGTGCCAATTTGTTTTAAGATTTGTATAGATTTGAATGTGTGTGTGTGCATGTGTGAGTGTCTGTGTGTGTGTTTGTGGATGTACACGTGTGTATTTGCGCACATGTGTGTACTGTTGTATATGTAACACTCTGCATCTGACTGTATCCTGTAGCTTGTAATGTGCGTGTTGAGTCTGATAAAGATAAAACTTGTAAGGTTTGTAATGATGTAGCCAACATGATAATACAATTTTTTCTAAGGTATATGAATAAACAGAAGGCTGTATATTTTTTAAAATTTAGTAAATTGCACAGATTTGTCGTGGGCATATTTCTTAATATTAGCAGATTTTTCATGTGGTGTAATATACCAAAGAACTTCATGTTTTTTTCATAGTGCTGTTTCTGTTTTTATTTAGACTGTACTATTTATGTTTGTAATTATAACCATTCTCATTTCTTAGTATCTGCCCACTTCCCTTGTAATCACATATAGGTAACATTTCCCATACTTGAAACATAAGCTATATATATGTTACTGTTGTGCGATGAGAAATTAACTGAAGAGTTAGAAATGAAAGCAGTTGATTGCAGACATTACTAAAAATGAAGCATTTGATGCCCAGCTTGATGTGAGAGTGAAAGCGGAGATGCTTTCAATCAAATATGAGGAAAGGAGGAAACAAATTTCTCCAGTTGAAGCTAGTGGATGTTATGAAGATGGAAACTGTGAAGAAGGAATATGGGGAAGGAAAGCTTGAATCACTAATAATCTACAACGACCTCAATGGTTCCTCAAAAACCTTGGTGCATATGCCTTCACTTTACTCTCATTTCATCATGTGTTGTACCTTCTATGTGTCATGCACAATGTTCATGTCAGCTCAAAAGAAAGCCGTGTTTTAGAATCTGTATAACTAAAAACCCTTTCCTTTGGTCAGATTTCTCCAAGCCTCAAGCGAATTTCAACACTCCGTTCATAGTAATAAATCATTGAATAAGGAAAGAAAAATAGGAGAAAAAAGGGAAAGTAATTCAGGAATGTAAATGCCTTGCTAATGTGTTGAGTATAAAGATTGATAACGTGTTAGTATTATGCTTGATGTCCAGATTGTCACATATGGGAAAGAACCTTAGGGAGTCTCGAATGAACAAAAGAAGGGAGATGAGGGACATTTTCAGGAGGATTCATATCAACTCCCGACTGGAAGTGATTTGATCGAGTTGGCAGGATTTGCACTGCATAAGGTATTGGGGGCAACCTTGTACGAAGGATGGTGTGATGACAAGAGCTCACTTCTGATTTATTGTAGTTTAAGCTTGCATTGTCCATGGAAGCACTATATTTTATAGTGACTTTCCTTTGCAAGCATATTTGTAAGTAGAAATAAGAGTACTGTATGTTAATGGTGCTGCATTATATAAGAGAGGTATAACCCCATTGAAGATAGAAGCACTCTACTTAATTTTTTAACATACATCTTATTTGAGTTATAGTTTCATATTTGAGTAAGTCCACCGCTTTTTAAGTAGATTAACTAACCACATAAACACTATTATCATACATGTGAAGTATATGTATGTCCTATGTATCACTACAAAGAATGCATTCCATATGATAAAACTGTATAAAAAAGCTTCATTTACTCAGTATATGTTGCAAAGTGAATGTTTTAAACATGAAATATATATGTAAATGGTATTAGTTGTTCCTGTTTGTAATAATGTGGGTGCTTCAATGTCTGCATTACGTATAAATTGTTGGTAATTATTGATAAGATCTTTGATGCTAGAATGTACATACACATGCACACACACACAAACCCAGATGCATAAACACATGCAAACACATGCAAAGACAAACAAACATACATACATACATATAGACATCCATATACATGTACATATCCATATACATATGTATATTTGCTGGTACATATGGGTCTTCAGACATACATGTAAAATGAAATATATTTTATGGTTGTCATAAAACAAGAGCAAGAAAATGGTGCTTTATGTTCATGAATTGTTTTTATTGATTTAATTATTTTCTTGTTTTTGTTAGTACTGTTATTATTTTTAGTAATGCTATTATCATGATTATTTTTTCTGCATTGTCTATATGCTTGATTTTGAGACTACCTCTCTTCTCTGCAGGTGCAACGTGCATATGATTTATAACCAAGATACAATTGATAGTGGTACTGTAATTAATGTTGGCCAAACTTTCTTTCTGCCAAAAGATGAGTTAATGTGTTGAAGTTATGGAAAATATGAAACTTATGACATTCTTTTTAAATGGATGGTTGACATTGTTTATACATTTCTGCATTCTTTTCGAATTTGATTATGGTATTAAAGTATGGAACACTGGATTCATTTGCACTTCAGGTTTTTTTGTAAGTTATTCACATATATGTTACTGTAACTGATCAAGTAGTTACCACCATATTTCCAAAGTGTACAGATATACTTGTTTATAATCAATCATCTTTTTGTCCATTTAACTGATGGTATAATCAGCTTTTTGTTACTATACATACCATACACACATCTTTTCATGTAATGTACTTTTTCTTAGGCATTTTGTCTTTTTGTTTTGCCTTTGCGAATGAGCCAATCATCCTCTTAACTCTCTCTTTGCTGTAACTGCTTAACTCTAAATCATCTCATAACAGAAAGTAAAAAAGAAAAACCTGCTTCATTACTCGTTCAAAATTTGGGAGATTCATCCATGTCACCATCCACAGGTCAGTCCATCCATCTGTTCATCTGTCCGTCAGTCACAGTCCATCCAGTCGTCCATCCTTCTTGTTTGTTTTCCCTTTTCCGCTCTCTACTCCTTTCTTTCTCTCTTCCCCTTTCCCTCTCTCCTCTTCTTGTCTTTATCTGTCCTTCTGGTGTCTTGCCTTTTCCTTCTCTCTCCTCTTTCTTTCTCTTTCCTTCTCTCTCCTTCTCTTGTCTTGCCTTTTCCATCTTTCTACTCTTTCTTTCTCTTGTCTTCCCCTTTCCTTCTCTCTCTTTCTCTTTCCTTCTCCTGTCTTCCCCTTTCTCGTCTTCCCCTTTCTCGCTCTCTCTCTGCCCCTCTCGTAATTGAGTATACATCCAAGATCATTTTCAGTTCGAAACCACCATGTATCATTTCGATAAAATTTATTGGTTATGATTCATATTATAAATGTACAGTATGTTTTCTGCTTATAAATTGATAAATAACCGTTTGGATCTGAATATTTGCAGGTTCTAAAATATTTATTCATCGACTGCTTGGTTATATGTAGCCTCTGATGATAAAATATGCATTTTAAGACCCCCAAAAAGTTGTTAAAATCTCACGAAGAATGAAACATCTTTTGAGGTGCTATTATTTTAATGATAATTTACCCAAAACCATTTGTGAATTGCACATTATTCTTAAGAGACGTATGTCAGGAGAGTGAAAGGTAAAGATTCGTATAAACTTGTTTCATATTTCTCCCTAATTTGAGGGTAAGACAACACTTGTATGTAATCTTGGTCTGGTCACCTGATGTAACATTAATACGCTTATTATCAGGCTATATAACTGAGTAACGATGTGCTATATAATAATAAATTAGTAAAAATTGAAGAATGATAAATATGGGGGTGGTTATTTACATATAAAGAAGAAGAAAGTAAAAATGACTATTCTAAAATGTCTCCTTCGCCTCAGTTATTACACTGAAGAACATAAAATTTGAGGGCAGTATAAAGAATATGAGGAGGAAAATGGAACAATGAAATAATAAGGACAAGGATATGGTAACAAAGGACTCAACCTCCCCCAGCTTGAGGTGACTAGGACTGCGGAGGCCAATGGGCAGAAAATGCGTCTCCCTGAGATACCCAATAACACGTATGAACAGTAGTATGTAAATAAGTTAAAAAAAACTATAAGTAAACTTTCAAAACCATTAACAATTTTATGCACGGACGTTGAAGGGAGATCATTGATCAACCTTCAGAATCATCTTGGTTGTCTTCAAGGACGTCTTGCTGCTGTTGCTGACGTTCGTGGGTTAGCACTTCACCCTGTAACTGCTGGTGCCGCGACTCCTGTGCTAGGTTCTCTTCCTGGCGTCCTGGCAACATATGCAGGCCATGTTGCGCCATGCAGGGCCTTCATGATGCGTTGTTTGTTCTTCGCGCGATCCAGCACACTTGTGTTGCGTTTGGCGATCTTGAGGGTGTTGTGGTAATACAAATGTTGCTGCTGCTGCTGATGGTGGTGGTATGCTGATTGCATGTTGAGGAAGTTGGTGCTGAAGCGGCGTTGGTGGGTCAAGGGCATGCTGGTACATCTGACTAGCTCAAGCTTCGGTGGTATAAGAGCCGTGGGGATGCGTGGCTTGCCCCTCAAGGTACAGCCTCCTGGGGATGCTCCTCCGTACTCGGCCAGGCTGGGGTTATAGGGAACGTCAGCTCCTGGCAGATATGAGCCAGCAGGCCGGGACAGGAGCCGCAGGGGACTTAGCGAGGGCGTACTTTCGGGCCGCGACTCCAGTTGTAGCTTCCTGCCTCAGGCAGGGAGTGGGGCGTCGTGCTGCTCCTCTAGAGCGTCCAGCGCCTCGAGTCTCAGGAGACGGTCGAGGTGGGGTGCCACTATGAAGCAGCGCGCACTGCGTCGGAGAAAGAAGTGCCTCAATATGCTGAAGAAAAACAAGTAGTTCAACACAATTTTCAATCGGCTATCCAAACCTCATCTTACAGGTGAAATCAAAGTAATCCCATCTATTGAAGGTAATCACGACCTCAGCGCCTCTTTCTCTGGCCACGAGCCTCTCTACGACGGCTGCCAGAGGGACTAGGAAGGGCAAATCCAACGGGATTTGATCTACAGCGGTCGCCTCTGGCATAACTTCGGCAAGCCAAGGACGGTCTGCTGGTCGACCGGGGGAAGGCTAGCGATCCCCGGCACCATCATGGCAAACTGTTGCGCTCTCGTACGCCCCTCCACGCCCACGTCTGCTTCGGCCGCCCACAAACTCGCCTCGGTGAGCTGTTGGGCGTGGCATGCGGGCGAGAAGGTGGCGTGGTGTGCACTGGTGAGGGTGTGGATGAGGTCGTCGCTCGGCTGAGAGATGGGGCTGCTCTGTTCCCCTCCGTCGGCGATGGGCCTCTTCCGCCCACGCTTCGGAATCGTGTTCACTGCGGGGAGGAGGACAGTTATTAGCAGCAAATCCAATAAAAATGAAAAACAACAATCAGAAATGAACACAGGAATATTCACAAGTATTCATAAGGACCCTGACCCGTCGCCCGTTTCTACTTGTCGAAAATGCTCACCATCTTTGGCCATGCCTGCGCGAAGACACCCTTGGAACCGACAAGCCTGGCAGCGCGTGCGAGACTCCCTGGTGACTTCGCACTGGTAGTTTCTCGGACAAACCAAACGGGTGTTCCTTGACGTCACACGCCTGAAGAAGCCCTGGGGAGCAGAGGATATGTGCGTTAGTACCTTTAACTCGAAACGTTACAACGATTATTAATTACATAACATACCACAGACTCGGAATAATTAAAAAGATTAACAGATTCCAAAAGGTGTAATATAATTACATATATAACTATATATAATTATATGACATAATTACATATATTACAATAATAACTACATGCAAACAAGAAACAAGAAACAAAAAACGATTGTTCTCCCTTACCTTGCACCCTTCACAAGCATGGACCCTGTAATGCATTCCCGAGGCCTTGTCCCCACACACTGCGCAGGGGATGACGGCGTCCTCCTCCACGCGGCGCCTTTTGCTTCCTGGCTTCGGTGCCTCGTCCAGCGCCTTCTTCATCGTCTGCCCGGGAGGACACGGAGCCACGATCTCCTACGAGGAAGGAAATTTACTTAATACGGGATCCCAGAGGATTTTCATGCACTGTGTGAAGTGACATAGTATTTCATTCTCGGATTGGACCGAGGACTGCCCTCGAAATTCTACAATATGTCTTACGAATGCATTTTCACGAAACTTACCTGCGAACATGCTTCTGGAACTTGCGTCTCGTGTTCGGGTATGTCCCCGGCTACGACTTCGTGCCCGGGTCCTGCCCACTCCTGTCTATAGCCTGCAGTAGGACCGTTGCCTTCTAGGGGCGTCACTGGACTAAAATCCACGAAGGTCTGTCCCTGTGGATGTATGCGGTTGGCGGGAGCGGCCCCAGGGAGATGCGGGGAATTGAAACTATCGTAGCCACTCTCCAGGCTGGGGGGTCGCGCCATACCGCCGAGGGGGGAGGAGGCACCTGTCGGGAACATGTTTGATATAAAATGGTGCCCCAAAATGGTCGCATATATTCCAGTACATGATCAACTGTGGATGTGGTTGGAAGGATCTATCATACTAAGGTCAATTATTCACCCGAAACTAAACAAGAACTAAGAGCAATCTTACAAAATAAATTGGAATCTCCATACAAATCCATAAAAACTAAATCAATCAGTAATTATATAAAATTAATAAGAAACCAGCTAATACAACTCTTATATAGCCAATTGACTATTTACTATACTAAGTTAAATAACCACTAATCACCCATTACAAGTCGGAAAACCACTATATATATACCGCTTCTAACATCAACATTGAAAATCAACCAACCAAGTCACTATGAATTTCAACAGAAAATTCGTTCTACTCACGTTTCACAGGAGTAATTGGAGTATTGAACGGGTGATGGTATTGCATGTGTTGCAGATGCGGAGTGAGGTGTTGTGGTTGATGCTGATCTTGCAGGTGTGGTTGAATCGGCGCAACCGCTGACTGACGGGGTCCCCAGCTATCCATCGGAACCTGAAAAATGATGAAAAATTATGTCAATTATCATTATAATATATCCTACATTTTTAAGGATAAAAATTCATAATTGACTTATATATACATGAAGTTCTAAATGTAGCTCTTAGTAGGGTTTACAATATGTTCATCATAATTAATAATATCACTGATAATTACAATCTAGCCCACAAATGTTAAAATAAACATACAAAAATATATAACTGACGCATATCTGTACACCAAATCCAACAGTAACTCACCACCATATTAGGATTGTGTCTGGCGTACGCATGGTGAGGAAGCGCCCATGGGTCATGCAGGCCTGGGTGGAGGGCGTGGGCGGGAGGGCCGGGCCACCCTGCACCGGGAGGGTCGCCCATCTCAGCCAGAGAGCGGGCCGTCATCAGGGAGTGGATGCTGAAGTCGGAGAAGCGGGGGCCGTGGAGCTCCATGCCTGCTGCGATGGGAGGAGGCGGTGGTAAGGTTTTGTCCATTTAGCTAGGAAACGCCTTCCCCAGAAATAGTCACATACGCATGCAAATACTCTAT